CCTTGCTGGTGTTGCGGCTCTCGCCGCCCGCCAGGCAGGTGAAGGTGTCGCCGCGCTCCCACTCGGCCTCGGTGACGCCCAGGCGGCTGCTGGTGACCACCACGCCCGAGCCCTCGGCCCCGGCGGCCTCGGAGGCGGCGCCGGCCCCCAGGGGGTCGCCGTTGCGGAACCAGCTGATTGGCGACCGACGTGGGGCGCGGGCCTGGCACAGCAGGGTGGAGTTCCGGAAGGGGCCCTGGAAGTCCTCGCGGGACGGCGGGTGGAGGGTGAGCAGCGGCGGCAGGGAGGAGGAGGGGCCTGGGAGAAATCGGGAAATATTAGGAAAAATTGGGGGAAATTGGGGAAAATTGGGGGAATTGGGAAAATTGGGGGAATTGGGGAAAAATTAGGAAAATTAGGATAAATGAGGAAAAAGGGAAAAGGGGAGAAAATTGGGAAAAATTAGGAAAATCAGGAAAAATGAGGAAAAGGGGATAAAGGGGGTAAAATCGGGAAAAATTGGGAAAATTGGGGAAATTTGGGGAAATTGGGGGAATTGGGGAAATTGGGGAAATTGGGGAAAATTGGGGAAATTGGGGGAAATTGGGGGAATTGGGGAAATTAGGGAAAATTGGGAAAATTAGGATAAATGAGGAAAAGGGGAAAAAGGGGGTAAAATCAGGAAAAATTGGGAAAATTGGGGAAAATTGGGGAAATTGGGAGAATTGGGAAAATTGGGGAAATTGGGGGAATTGGGGGAAATTGGGGAAATGGGGGAAATTGGGGAAATTGGGGAAAATGGGGAAATTGGGGAAAATTGGGAAAATTAGGATAAATGAGGAAAAGGGGGAAAAGGGGGGAAAATTAGGAAAAATTGGGGAAATTGGGGAAAATTGGGGAAAATTGGGGAAATTGGGGAAAATTGGGGAAATTGGGGGAATTGGGGAAATTGGGGGAATTGGGGGAATTGGGGACCCTCCCCTCAGGAATATTTGGGATCAGGACCCCCAGAATATTTGGGATCAGGACCCTCCCCTCAAGATATTTGGGATCAAGACCCCCAGAATATTTGGGATCAAGACCCTCCCCTCAAAATATTTGGGATCAGGACCCTCCCCTGAGGAATATTTGGGATCAAGACCCCCAGAATATTTGGGATCAGGACCCCCAGAATATTTGGGATCAAGACCCTCCCCTCAGGAATATTTAGGATCAGGATCCCCAGAATATTTGGGATCAGGACTCTGGGAATATTTGGGATCAGGACCCTCCCCTCAGAAATATTTAGGATCAGGATCCCCAGAATATTTGGGATCAGGACTCTGGGAATATTTGGGATCAGGACCCCCAGAATATTTGGGATCAGGACTCTTGGAATATTTGGGATCAGGACCCTCCCCTCAAGATATTTGGGATCAAGACCCCCAGAATATTTGGGATCAAGACCCTCCCCTCAAAATATTTGGGATCAGGACCCTCCCCTGAGGAATATTTGGGATCAAGACCCCCAGAATATTTGGGATCAGGACTCTTGGAATATTTGGGATCAAGACCTTCCCCTCAGGAATATTTGGGATCAGGACCCCCAGAATATTTGGGATCAGGACTCTTGGAATATTTGGGATCAGGACCCTCCCCTCAGAAATATTTAGGATCAGGATCCCCAGAATATTTGGGATCAGGACCCCCAGAATATTTGGGATCAAGACTCTGGGAATATTTGGGATCAGGACCCTCCCCTGAGGAATATTTGGGATCAGGTAACCCCCCCCTCCCCCTTTTCCCTTCCGGAACATTCCGGACTCACCGGGATTGGTCACTTGAGTGGCGGCTCCGCCCTTGGGATTCTCCGCCCGGCACCAGAAGGGCATCCTGGATTTCCCTTCCTCCAGCGGCGCCTCCAGGCGGGAAGCGGCCAGGAACAGCAGGGCGGAGTCTCTGGAGGCCACGCCCACCCCGCTGGCCACGCCCACTCCGGAATTAGCCCCGCCCAGCGTGCGGTTCTGCCCGTCGCTCCAGCGCCAGCGCAGCGGGGCCGGGGGGGTCCCCCCGACAGCCAGGCAGCCCACCGAGAAAAGGGGTTGGGGGCCGCAGGGGGACAGCGGGAACACGCGGGGGGCACCGCCCGGAGCTGGGGGGGCAAAAAAACCCGGGGAAAAAAGGACGAAATTTGGGTCAGAAACGGCCGTTTTTACCGATCTTTGCGTTTTTTCGACGCGAAAGTTCACTTTTTTGACAGCGTTTTTTTTTGGGGGGGTTTAAGGGGTTTTAGGGGTGGTTGGGGGTCGATATTTCTCCTCCCCCCTCCCAGTTTTAGGGGGAAATTTTTCTCACGTTTTCGAAGAAATTTTTGGGGTGAAAATCGGAGTTTTTGGGGAAAATTTGGGTTTGGCAGATTTGGGGGAAAATCGAGGGTTTTCGGGTTTCTTGGGGGGATTGGGTTGGTTTGGGGGGTTTAGGGACCACCCGACCTGTTTTGGGGTCAAAACTCACCATTTTAGGGCGATTTTTTGGGGTGAAAATTGGCATTTTTTACAATTTTAATGGAATTTGACGATTTTGGCCGATTCGGGTGAAAATCGACGGTTTTGGGGGAAATTTGGGGGGTTTTGGGGGGATTCAGTTGGTTTTGAGGGTTTAGGGACCACCCGACCTGTTTTGGGGTCAAGACTCACCATTTCAGGGCGATTTTTTGGGGTGAAAATTGACATTTTTTACATTTTTAATGGAATTTCACCATTTTTGCCAATTCAGGCAAAAATCGACGGTTTTGGGGGAAATTTGGGGGTTTTTCGGGGGATTCAGTTGGTTTTTGGGGTTTACATCCCACCCACATTTTTTTGGGGTCAAAACTCACCAGTTTAGGGCAATTTTTGGGGTGAAAATTGGCATTTTTTACATTTTTAATGGAATTTGATGATTTTGGCCGATTCGGGCGAAAATCGACGGTTTTGGGGAAAATTCTCCATTTTTGGGGTGATTCGGTTGGTTTTGAGGTTTTAGGCCCCACTCACATTTTTTTGGGCTCAAAACTCACCAGTTTAGGGCGATTTTTGGGGTGAAAATTGACATTTTTTACATTTTTAATGGAATTTCACCATTTTTGCCAATTCAGGCAAAAATCGACGGTTTTGGGGAAAATTTGGGGTTTTTTGGGGGGATTCAGTTGGTTTTTGGGGTTTACATCCCACCCACATTTTTTTGGGGTCAAAACTCACCAGTTTAGTGCAATTTTTGGGGTGAAAATTGGCATTTTTACATTTTTAGTGGAATTTGACGATTTTTGCCGATTCGGGCAAAAATCGACGGTTTTGGGGAAAATCCTCCATTTTTGGGGGGATTCGGTTGGTTTGGGGGTTTTAGGTCCCACCCACATTTTTTGGGGGTCAAAACTCACCATTTCAGGGCAATTTTTGGGGTGAAAATTGTCATTTTTTACATTTTTAATGGAATTTGATGATTTTTGCCGATTCGGGCGAAAATCGACAGTTTTGGGGAAAATTCTCCATTTTTGGGGAGATTCGGTTGGTTTTGGGAATTTAGATCCCACCCACATTTTTGGGGGTCAAAACTCACCATTTCAGGGCGATTTTTTGGGGTGAAAATTGGCATTTTTTACCTTTTTTGTGGAATTTCACGATTTTTGCCGATTCGAGCGAAAATCGACGGTTTTGGGGGAAATTCTCTGTTTTTGGGGGGAATTGGGTGGTTTTTGGGGGTCTCGGCCCCACCCACATTTTTTTGGGGGTCAAAACTCCCCGTTTTTGAGAATTCTGCGATTTTTTGGGGTGAATTTTTGGGGTTTTGGCGAATTTGGGCCAAAATCGACGATTTTTGGGGGGAAAAAATTTCACTTTTTTTGGGGGAAATTTGGGAGGTTTAAACCAGTACAAACCAGTACAGACCAGTATGACCAGTACAGACCTGTACAGACCAGTACTGACCAGTACTGACCAGAATAACCAGTAGAAACCAGTACAGACCAGTACAAACCAGTATAACCAGTACAGACCAGTACAGACCAGTACTGACCAGTACAAACTGGTATAAACCAGTACTGACCAGTATAACCAGTAGAAACCAGTACAGTCCACTACTGACCAGTACAGACCAGTACTGACCAGTACAGCTCAGTACTGACCAGTACTGACCAGTACAAACCAGTACAGACCAGTACAGCCCAGCACTGACCAGTACTGGCCAGTACAAACCAGTACTGACCAGTACAAACCAGTACTGACCAGTACAAACCAGTACTGACCAGTACAGACCAGTACTGACCAGTACAGCCCAGTACTGACCAGTACAAACCAGTACAGCCCAGTACAAACCAGTACTGACCAGTACCGACCAGTACTGACCAGTACAGCCCAGCACTGACCAGTACTGACCGGTACT